CTCCTGGGTTCAGGCAATTCTCCTGCCTCAGCCTCCTGAGTAGCTGGGATTACAGGCACACGCCACCATGCCCAGCTAATTTTTTGTATTTTTAGTAGAGACAGGGTTTCACCGTGTTGACCAGGATGGTCTCGATCCCTTGACCTCGTGATCCACCCGCCTCGGCCTCCCAAAGTGCTGGGATTACAGAAAGTGGATTCTTATAGTCTATTTTGAGGACTTACTAGGAAACTTCATTGTGGCCATCTGAGGCATGGGAGGAGAGAGGAGACCCTCACAGCCAAACCCCCATTTCCCTGCTGTTGCAACCGAGCCATGTGGAAGGGAATCCTGGCCACTCTCTCTGCCCAGCCCAGGGGCCTTGCCATGCCACCAGGGACCTCACAACCCCCAGGACACGTCCCTGCCCCTGGCATCTGGGACAAATCAGCTTGGTGGCTGTGGATACAGCGCAGCCTGCCTCCTTCACACAACATCACCGGCCAGGCAGCCTATATCCATTTTCCTTACAAGCAGTGGACCAAGAGTTTACAGTGTAAACATCACATATTAAAACATCTAACCTTTGCTCCACTCCCTTCGCCCGCCCTCACTGGTGAGCATTTGGTCGGGTTTGTTGGCTTAAAAATAAAATAATAACAGGGCTGCCGTGGGCCTCAGAGGACTCGGAACATCCTGAAAGCTGCTTCTGCTCATCAATTATTCAGCCCCATTCAGGGAGCGATCAGTCCTAATGAATTGAATCTGATGCATTCCGTTTCAGCGACTCGCTGGGCCTGTTGTGATGGTGCTGAGCGACAGTGTCTCTGCAGCCCAGAGAGAGGAAGGGAAGGGGTGGGAAGGGGGGTGTGTGTGTGTGTGTGTGTGTGTGCGTGTGATCCTAGAGGACAGAGCCCATGCCTTGGCTACGTGTGAACCTCCAGCACCCAGCATAAGCTGTGCATAAAGCAGGCATATGTGTATGTGTGTACATGTGTGCCTGTGCATGTGTGTGTCTTCGCGTGCACGTGTGTGCGTGTGTGCCCACGTGTGTGTGTGTGTGTGTGTGTGTGTGTGTGTGTACGCAGGCTTGCATGCACACCTTCCCCCTTCCCCATCCTCAGGGTCTAAAAAATCCCAGAAATCCAGCCCTGAGACTGGTGTAGTCACCTGTTTTCTCTCTAGACTAAGAAGCAGCATTGGTGTGAGGGGCTCTGGGACCCCCTGCCCCCACCACTCCAAAAGCTCGGCCCTCCTCATCCCCATCCTTTCCCCGACTCCCTCTCCCACCTCATTAGAATGCACTTTTGCAGAAGAACCATCAGAGCTGATTATGATCACGCTGCTTGATTAGCGGATGCGCTGTTCCAAGAACTACCCGAGGAGGGGGGTGGAGGAGGTGCCCGTGGGCATGGCAGGGGCCCTGACTTGCAGGGGAAGAAGGGGATGGGTCTGGGGGCAGCTCCTCAGGCCCCACTGCTGCCCGACTAGGAAGTGCATCCCACCCAAGTTTCAGAGCAGAGCTAGAAAGTAGAAAAGGGCGAGTGGCGGGGCAGGGACGGGGGAATGGAGCACTGGAAGCCTGAGATAAAATTGGAAGTCTCCCACCCCAGCCCTCTGTGGGGTCAAGGGTCAGTGGGCAGGGTGGGGCCGAACCATGCTGTGCTGTGAGCTGGAAAAACAACTGCTGACTCCATTCCTTCCAGGACTGCTTGTCTTCTAATGAATTTTCCAAACACTAAGCTGAGAACAGCAGCACATACCCAACACGTGTGTGCAGAGGCCTGTGTGCGAGCACTCGTGCAGGTGCACCCTGGTACCTATTGCATGCACATGCAGCAAATTAACACATTTTCCCGTTCACACTTGAGCACACACACATATACATGCATGCCAGCAGTTACACAATACACAAGCGTTTTGTCCATCGGTGCCCTCCCTAAGGCAGCGTTCCTGAGCCACAAAAGGTGGCTGGCTGCAGGTGGGACCATATGAAAT